TCATCCAGCCTATCTTATTTAGACAGACCTGCAGAGGTAATAACATGTACAAAAACAAGACAGAGCAAAACCAAGCAACAATGTAAAACAAAACAACAACAACAACAACAAACCACTGACAAAGAACAAATTAAAACACAGCAAGAAAGAAGAGCTTGTAGTTCGTTCCAGGATCGTGGCCTTACACACCTCTCACACTGTCAGCTGTCTTCAAGTGGACATAAGATCACCTAATGGCCACGCCTTCTGAAATACTCCATCAGAAAGTGACACTTTCCGCCATATGGCTTAGTCTGCATAAACTATTGTAATTGAAGGAGGTAAATTTAATTTCCCTAGTTGTTTATGCCACTACCATCTCCATTACATTCAATGACAAATGAGAAGTATAATTTAGAAGTAACACCAGTACAAAAACATTACGAAGGGTCCTACATGATCTTTATGGGACGCGGCGTGGTCTATGGAGTTAAGGGGAGTAACTTCTCTGGGTGACACCCCCCCCCATTGAGACCACTGTCTTTAGGTGTTGGTCCCCCTCATAGTGGCACGGGGGTCTGTGCCATCCCCACTAGATTGTCTCAGGGAGAGGGTCCCCAGGGTCTCAGGCTCAATCCAGCCCTCGCTGATGACATCACCACGTCAACCAACAGCAACAACATGGGCCTGCCTGTGCAATATTTAAGATTGGATTTAAGTAGAAAGTTGCCTTCTGGGAAATAAACGACTCCAACGATAACCATTAACACATCCTGAGCACTCTGCTCCTCCCACAGCATTCCGGAACTGGCATTCCGGAACCATAAAGCTCGGAGTTGGACAGCAGAGGAGAGATTCCTTCAGGACTTGCCCAGAGGCACTTCCCAGCTACATCATAGGGCTAGTTCCACTCTGCTGGCCACAGGGAAGGTGGGTGGTACAAGGAGGCACCCTCCAGCATTCGAGAACATTCTATAGCTTGGCCTGGGAGGTGATGACAGGTGTCTGACCGTTAGCTGTCCCTGCACTGCAGAACGAAATGCTTCCAGATCCTCTCCAGGCCTGTGCTGAGTGGAGGGGTGGGAGCTGTGCTTCAGAGGGTTCTGACCGGTTGGTTTTCAGAAATAGACTGCCAGCCCTTTCTCTGTAGTCTGAAAGTTCTGCTAACACCTGGGCAGCACCATACCTCTGGGGAAGGAAAGAGTTCTACCTCTGAGCCGCCACCACGCCTTCCAAATCCACCAAGCTCACTGCCATCGAGCCGAGGCCGGGTCTCAGCCTCCTAGCGACCCTATAGGACAGGGTAGACCTGGCCACTGTGCGTTTGCGAGGCTGTCACTCTTTATAGGAGTGGAAAGCCCTGTCTTTCTCCCCAGGAGCAACTAGTGGTTTTGAACTGATGACCTTGCAGTTCACTTAGCAGCTCAACAGGTGCAAACAAGTAACTTTCATTTTAAATGTATTTGCATTCCTGAACGCGAGGCTTCAATGGAATTGTAAAAAGTAAAGTAAACAAACAGTAAAAAAAAATGAGTCACCCCACCAGGAATACCACACAAACCAAACTCAAGGACGGACTGGAGTCCATTCTGGAATCTGACTCTCAGTGACCAATCCTGTAAGGACAGAGTAGAACTGCCCCCAGGGGGTCTGAGCCTGTCACTCTTTATGGGGGTCAAAACCCCACCTTCCTCCCTCTGAGCTACTGGTGGTCTTGAACAGCTGACTTGTGGTTGCAGCCCAAGGGGTACCCCACGACTCCATGAGGGCTCCTTTGAGTATTGAACACAATACCACGCCCCTCCCCCCAAAAAACAAAAACAGCACAAACTCAGTACCATGACGTCTATTTTGACCTAGCGCCATCCTAAAGGGCAGGGAGGAGAAAAACCCTTTAAGGGAGCAGACAGCTCAGCAGAGCGGCTGAGCCTGAGGTTAGCAGCCGGGTGAGGGCACCACCCTTGCTGGCATGCAATACTCATCCTTGTTCCCTCTCCAGAGCAGGGCCCACCCAAGGCCCACTGCCAGCCTGAGACCCCATAGGTCAGAGACCCCATAGAAGGGGGTGGAATCTTCTGGAAGCAGCTTCTCCTGCTCTATCTGAGGCAAGCGCTGTCCAGAGAGCCCACCTTCTCCTCTCTGGGTTCCCATCTGGAGGTTCATCCTTGAAGCTTTTTTTTCCCCAACAAAGAGACTTTCCCCCAAACCCTATTTGTTTCCCCCCC